ATATATATATCGGTCTAACCGGCCCTGCTCGGCCTGAGCTTTCACGGGGTCTTCATGAATCGGGTCCCATTTCGGCCGATCGAACCCGTACGGTTGAATAATAATGGCCTCACTGCGATGCCCGTCTCGGCCAGCACGGCCGCTCTCTTGGGCGTAATCCAATAAGCTGCGTGGCAAGCTAATGTGAATTATACTGCGAATATTGGGTATATCAACACCCATGCCTAGCGCGCTAGTAGCTGCCACTACCCCGGTCGTATCGGCCTGAAAACGGGCTAGTACGCCATTGCGATCGATCGTACGGCTGTGATATGCCTCACATTCGACTAACTCGGCTAGTTTCTCGACAGTCTTGGTGGTGGGCCCGTAAATAACCACCCGGCCGGTCTGAGCACGCGCGCGCGTAATACGATCTCTAATAAATCGTACGATCTCGGGGTTCTCTACCCAATCGTAGCTATTGGCGTATCGGCTTGGGTTCGCAACCGTGGGCTGCCATAGCCGGTAAGCGACATTTATGCGATGGGTGCGAGCTCGAAATAAATGGACCTTCTCTCGCGACGTACGTAGCCGTTGAAATAGCTGATTTTCGGCCGTCGGTGGCAGCGTGGCAGTCAAATATATCATCTGAGCCTGAGCCACGAGCAATCGACCTAATTGAGCCATAGCGGGCCTAAAATGGGTCTGATCATTTAATACCACGTGGCATTCATCGATCACAATGCGATCAAGCCGATGACATAGCCGCTGCCGGTTCAAAAATGTCATGAAATCCTCCGTAATAGCTGACTCCGGCGTCACTAGTACAATCGATGCCTGGTCTGCCAGCCGACGGCTCTCCCATTCAACGCATGAAATGCCGAGCTGCCGGCATCGATGGACCATATCTCCACGTAATGCAATTAATGGCACTACCACCACCGTCACCCCACGGGGGCTGATCCACGCGGGCAGCATGAATAGTAAGCTTTTTCCACCCCCGGTGGGCATCACGGCGACCACCGGGCTCTGGCCTTGTTGAATAGCTTCTAACGCCGGTGCCTGCACCCCTCGGAGTCGAAGCTCGCTATTTCCTAGCATTCGCTGCATCTCGGGCTCTATAGCTGCCTGCGTCAATTGCCAGCGACGCTCCGTACGGCCGATCTCGGCTTCCTTCTGCCATGGTGAAAACTGGGCCATTCCTAATGCACTCTCGGCCCCGCCGTCATCCGTGGACACAAAGCCTAAAAATCGATGCCAGTCGGTGCTACTAAGCCGAAACATCTCACGCCGGTGGGCCGTCGTACCGGGCTGCTCGGTAATGCCACGGCCGTAGATCATGCCGGCCACGTGGGATGAATGGGCCGCCTGGAGGTCAGCAATGTGACCCATCCATTGCTCAGCATTCATGCCCTCTTCGTCATCCTCTTGTGAAGCATCGGCCCTTGCATCCTGCTGCGTATTATTGGGGAATACGCTAGATGGCCGCATGAAGCGACGGCTAATGCCAATAGCAATATCTCGGTAAGCATTCAAATTGATTGCTTGCCCATTAAGCCCAATAGTGGTTTCCCGCTTTAGCACTTCACGGAGTCTATCAGATGACCAATCTCGGCTAGTGCCAGGATCCGGACCCCAGAGGTAAGCCTGACGCTGCCTACATGCCAAAATTAGTAAAAATTGACGAAATTGATGAAATTGGAAAATTGATGAAATTGGAAAATTGATGAAATTGGAAAATTGATGAAATTGGAAAATTGATGAAATTGGAAAATTGATGAAATTGGAAAATTGATGAAATTGGAAAATTGCAAAAACTCACCTTTTGATCTCCTGTAAGCTGTCTAAGCCGTCCGATCGCCGCACCTTCGCGACGTACGCCTCCAACCGTCGTATAAATGGCAATACTAGCCATAAATAATGGACCACAAGCTCACCGACTTCCCGGGGTAAATAGCGATGAATCACCTTCGTATCATTGGATGCGTAAAACCCCTTGTGGTATTGTGAGACGAAGGTAACGAGCCCGTCCTCAATGAATATATTGCGACGGCCCCCGCTGTCGGTGTTGCAATGCCGAATGCTTAATAGCTCCGGGGCGCGAGCCGGCTGGCCACCACTGACATGAATAGCAATAGCAAGCTTCTCACGGAAATGCGCTACCCGTTGAAGGTATACGTCAATTGCTGCCATACGTAGCCGACCAGCACTACTCTCAATGAATCGCTGCCGTACGGGGCCGTGCTGCCGGACCCGAGAGATTAGCCATTGCTCACCGACCACCGGCCATGGCGTACGGGTGTCTTTTAAAAAATTCCACCCGTCGGCTGTCTCCGTGGGATCGTCGTAAATTGCCTGCCATGGAATAGCTGGAACGGACCCATTTTCGACGAATAATAGCTCATTGTGGAGAATTTGGCGTGCCGAGGTCGTAAGCCCGTGGATGAACCCACGGAAGTCACCTATCGAGAAATTGAATTGCTGGTAAAGTAGCTGGTCCTGATTCATCCAGCCGACGTGGCCCGTAGTGGTGCTATTGTAATGGATCTTTAAGCCGTACGTCCGTAGATCTAATAGCCATTGAATTGGACTATTAGTTCCACGGACCATGAATTGGCTTACCATCTCAGCCACCCACTCTCGAAATGATCGCTGGGTCTGCCGAGCCTGGGTAAATTGAATGAATTGCGATGACTGCGTCGGTGGCAGAACTGGGCCATTTTCAAAATTGAAAAATGGATCATCTGATGTCTGAAATTCAGGTGAATCGAGTGGACTCTCGGTATCCCAATCCCCTGCCATTTGATGCTCCGCTAGCTGATATAGCATTGCCTCAGCCGTGGAATCCAATTTCAATGCCTTGTGGACTACCATGAATCGTGCAATTTTAATAAGCTTCGATAAAATCGGAGGATAGCTCTCTGCCGTACGCCAGCCTGTCTCACCCCGACCGAGCACTGCCGTGGCACAAATCAGCGCGCTCTCATAGTCCTCGACCTTAATTCGATGATTCAAAAGCTCAATACAAAAATTGAGACACGCTAGATCAATGGGAGCTAGCTGAAACGGAGAATCGGTGCTATTTTGCTGATTCGCCAGCGATTCGCTAGCAATTCGCTGCGTGGGATGACCCTCGGTGTCACTCTCTGAATGCGCACTCTCTGAATGCTCGCTATTATCGTCTGAACTAGCCGTGGCTGAACTAGCCGTGGTTGAACTAGCCGTGGCTAGGCTGGCTGACCTAGCAATGCCTACGCTAGGTGATGCGCCCGGCTGAGCTAGTTTCCAAAGCGAATTCCACGCGGCTCGCTGGCGCCTAGTGAATTTGTAATTTGGACTGGCCCATTCATGCGAAGCCTGCGTACGAGTGAAAAACATCAAAATTTGCTGCCACGGTATGGTATGTCTCTCAATGTTATCGGCATCCATGTAAGCTTGCAATGGCTGATGCGGTAGTCGGTCACGCTCCGTCCGTACGGCCTCGGTGCGAATGGTATGGCTAGTTTTCGTACAAATCAACTGGCTAATTCTAGCGACAGCAGCCATTGCATCCCATATAGCGCTTGCCGCCATTTCCGTCGGATCGGATGAATCGACGTCGGGTGGTTGGACGCAGTCAATAAGGTGCTGTGGGTCGATTCCACGGAGGTAGACGGCCCACCGCGTACGACGGAGCCATGGATTCGCGTCATCGCGCTCGCCAGCTTCAATTAGCTGGGGTAGCTCACTTTCCTCTTTGAAAGCTAGTTCGATTTCATCAATAAGCCGGTCGCCGACCTCGGTCGCGGGCATTGAATCGGCTTCGGCAATGGCATCCGCCCCGAGCGTACGCACCCGAATGTAATGAGATCCTGGCCCCTGGATAAATGCGCGCTGGCATCTAACGACGCGCGTAAATTGCTGAATTTGCTGCTCGGCCGCCGATAAACCTTGCTGCCGCCGACGGCCGCTATAGTGAGCCGGTGCGACCCAGCCATGCTGCTCACGCCAATGCTTACGTATAGTGCTAGCTTTCCTAGCGATAAATTGACAAAACTGACCCTTTTCGCATAAAATGCCATCCGAAAAAACTGGCAAATTTGCAATTGGGTCATTTACCGCGGTCGGAACTAGCCATTTATCGCATTCTTGCGCGCGCTCGGAGGTCTGAACAGCTTTAGCAATTTGGCGTGCTTTCGGCATTGGAAAGCGATGGTTCGGAGATTGAAAGTGTCGAAAGACCTCTCCGGTCTAACGACGTGCTCGCATGTCTTACACACGAAGACTGGGTCTGTCGAAGGTTGGTGAAAAAATTGGGTTTGCATAATAAAGGTGTAGATATATATCGTACAATAGTGAATTGCATGAAATTTGACGAATGTCTAATGCTAACTTTGGGGTGAAATGGTGTAAAAGAAAAGTGAGATAATAGCTAGGAAGCTTTCAAACCCCCTGAATTAATGGCTACCCCTCCTGATCATTATTGACTAGCATTATCGAGGTTGTTCTATTCGTCTAGAGTGCTGTAGCGGTGTCTTAGGTGCTAATCGTATACCGTAATGGTACACCCCAACAAAACATCTCTAATTTTTAATCGCCATTTTCTCGATAACTAGTAGGCTATGCATGCTCCGAAGCAAATGGGAGATATTTCACATAGTCTATTATAACTCATAAAAATTTGAGAACGATCGGAGTTCATTTGACCTCTGAACCCTGGCGAGGAAATTAACCTGAACTCAGGCGGGGCCCACTTTTTATGTCCCATAGTTAAGACAAAGCCCTAACCTGAACTCTGGCAGAGTTCACCCACCCCCGTGGGATAGGGTTACCTGCCGTCGTGGGCGTTGCGTTGCGGGCGGACAGGTGGAAAGCGTGGATTGGGTTGTATAGAATCAAGCCGCTTTGATATCGCGCTAAAGCAACTTTATCTATGCCGGTGCGGGCACTAAGCCAAATCTGGTTAGCCTGGTTGTGAGGTGCGAACATAGACCACCCTACCAAAATTGCCAGCCTTACGGCTTTCAGCCCAAACAGCTGACTTAAGGCGAGTCGCCAGCTTGTGTTCCGGCAATCTTGAATCGCTGAAGTCGTGGCTCAAGATGTTTCAGATGAACACTATGTAAAAGGGGCCACCGGTACTGTTTTCGCTCCGCGGTAACTGCCACCCGCATTTTCGGTTCAAGCTCAAGGATGTTTGCCGCTAAGCGATCGCGTCGGTTGGCGATTGATTCTTCATCGGATGTGATCTCGTCTTCGGTGTCACACGCGGCCAACAGAACTTGTCGTCTGTGCCTCTTGCGGGGCCGGAGCATCCGTCCAGAATGTCGCAAGACCTCATATTCATCCAGGGCTTGGATCATTCGCATGCATAAGTCTTGCGCCACGGTGCCTTTAGCCTTGCGCTGGGCTTTCAACAACGACTCATCTCCAATTCTGATACCAAAGCGAAAGACAGTCTGCGGGGCTTTTCTCTTCCACGCTGGGGCATCGGGATTCTGGGAAAACTGATCGGCGATCTGTAACAATTTCTCATAGAATTCCCCTTCAGGCAGCCTAACCAGATCCATCTCCGGTTCCATGGCGTTCTCCATGTACTGAGATTCGCCAGACGAGCGGCCCCAGCCAGTCGTTGGATGGTGTTTGATATATTCGGCAGGGAAAGGGTCACCCCCTCGCGACACACCATACCATTGCCTGTAGTGTTCGTACAATCCGGCATTGAAGTTAGACCACCATACCTCCTGTCCTGTATCCTTAGACCTGCGCATAAATCCATTGCTATGTGGGTATGGAAGTAACCAGTGGCTTTGGAGGAATGAAGTCCTTAAGACTTTCTTCCACTCCCGCGCTCTATTCTTACCCAAGATTTGGTGGAGAGCCTCAAAGCTTTGCTGGTATACCATACGATATGGCTTATCCTTCCACCCCTTCCGATCAAAACGGCCATCTTTCCACTCCCATAGCCAAGCGAAGATAGTGTCCACGCTCTTTACCGCGATCCGACGCTGATCTAGAAGCTGTAACGGTTGGGCGCCCTCAATAAATACGCCGCTGATGCTGTCATAGCTAAGGGGAACCTCTCCTGCTAGAGCCCGAGAAGCATGGTCCGGGTGTAACAGTCGTTTGACCTGTAGAAACACGTCCTTACGAAACACACAAAGAGACAGTTGTCGTAGGAAGTCCGCGAGAAGATCGAGGCAAGGAGGAATGGAGCTAAATTCTTCCATCCAGCGGTGGGCCTGGTGCACCCGTAGGAAGTCTAGACGAACGTCTCGGATCTGCGCGTACCGTGCGTGGAACGCCGCCTGCATCGAAGGGCTGTTAAACATCATATATTGCGCGGACGGTTGTCGGAAGGTCATCGTATCCCAGTTGAGCTTATCCAGAAACCAGGCATATCCATATTTCTCACATACTCCTCTGGAATCCGAGACCTTCACACCGGCGAAGGCCGTCCGTCCGCCGAGTATCAGGCTGGAACCAGACATCCCGCCAGCAGCCAGACACCCGCTGTAGAAGGCCACCCGTATAGGAAAATTGCAGGCAGCGCAAAAACATCATCATAACCCGAGTATGTTCCCACGTAACAAAATGGCGGTCATTGATGCTATAGACAGTCTCAAACCCCACGCAGAACTTGTTGATATTCCAGTGGAACCAAAAGAGAAGAGTGGAGGTGGGGAGGGAGTAAAAAGGCTCAACTTGAGACGAAACTCCCTGGAAGTTGTGCCTGGTGAAGGTTGCGCTCGCGAAGCTCCTGATCGATCATATAGAACAGACGGAGGGAGATGCGGTGCTCTTCGCGAAGACCAAATACTTTGATATGTGATCCTTGCAAGGCAGCGTGGCACCGCTGTTTCATGTTCAGATATGCCCGCCTTAACGCGATTGGGTCATGGCTGAGACCGCCCCCGACATACTGCCAGGTCTTACGAAGCTGAGGATCTAGTGCCAAGGTTTCTAGGGCCGGATTAGAAAATGGGTATACATCCCCTGCCGCAAAAACCTCCTTTACACTGGAATAAAACTGCGTATAGAGAAGACCGGCCTGCCGCTGCGGGGAGGATGGACGAGTTTCTAATGTGAGGCTGCCAGTATCGTGGAGCAGACTAATCGGATAAAACTGCTGTGCTTTGGACGTGAGGATCCCGGAGGATGCTGCTGCCCAATCCACTCAGTATACGACTCTAGGCAACATCGCCGCCAGAGGATGGTCTGTGGCACCAGTGGGCTTGCACGGGGCTCCCCGTCCGAATGGAGCCTAGATGCGTGGAGTCCCCCACCACCAACCCGTGAGGGCCCAGTAGGACAGGTCTCTTTCCCAAGATCGATATAGAATTGATCGGAGAGATAAGACTCGTCGATCGTGTTACCCCAATGCTGGGCAAACTCCTGCATCATACTGTCCCACGTATTTGCTTTGGTCAATGTCTTTAGGTTTTTACCCTGGACGAGGATAATCACGTCTAGGAATTGCTGGAACCCAGTGAGCTCGATAGTCTCTAGAATATTCGCCCATACAAGCGAGAGTGCATCTGGTGGTAGGAAATAAAATAGAAGCTGCTCTCGCGCTACCGGATCCACTCGCCGGGAGCGCATCTCAACTCCCCGGGCCGTAGCATTGAACCGGCTGTGATCAAAGCTAGAAGGATAGTGCTGGACTAGAGATCCCTCGCAGTGCTGGTAGATCATAGGCAGGAGGACTTGATCCATCTAGACCCGAAAGTCATCATCCCGGAGGCGGCTGGACTGCTGCTCCTCCCGGTATAGTCGCGGGAACAGAAAGTAAAGAGAAATATCTTTAAATCCAATCAACCGCCCAAAGGTATAATGCGGGATGTTATGTACTGGTTGTTGGACGTGATGGGTGCGACTATTGCTTCCAGTATAGTGTACACGAGGGGGATCAAGGTGGAGACTCGAGTGAAGATCAGAGAGAGGCATCTGAGTTGGGTTCCACCGCACGCCAAGTTTGGCTACCGCCGTCGGGCGTTCCGGTTCATGGTCGGCAGCAAGGCAGAGGTGGACTGGACGAGCGCCAGGCGTGGCTGAGTTTATCCCGGTATAGATCTCCCGTTTTCGGTCTGCGCTGGTTTGTCCTGCAAGGTTTTCCTCACGTCTAGCCGTTGCCGCGACACTGGGAACATCCGGGTATGCCCCTATCTGTGAACCCGGGCGAAGTCATGGAGAATACACTTCCTCAAATTTACAGGCACGTCGGTGAGCGGCCTCACGCTGCCGTTTGACTCGCTGTCGACAAGCATTAGCTGCCAGCCTATCTTGTCGACTTGCATACTTCGGAGGTCGACCTCGCTTTGCGAGTGGATGGTGCCATCTTGTTTGAGATCGATGGTGATTCGCCGTCACCTGTCGAGATATTTGATAACCGGTTTCATCTATTATTTGCACTGACTGCACCATCTTGGGAAGAGTATCTCTCATGTCGCTATTGTTAATTTGCCTAGTCGTTGGAGTTGGTCTTGTTGATTGGGGATACGCCACCGTTGACTGAAGTCTAAAACCCTCTCAACGCGTCCCGTCCGCGGCAGAGGGAAGTGTGAAGACACGAGCGGGAATTGTGTCGTTGCGACTAGCGGCGCCACAACTGGTGATAGGAACCGCACTCTGGGCTTGGGGCAATAGTTTGGATTGAAGGGCATAGGATGAAGGCACGGAGATGAAACGGATGTGGGGTGGTGTTCATGAGCAGGTGGCAGGGCATGCCGACGGATCAGTGGCAAAGGCGGTGGAACGTCGATCGCGATTAGTGGACGATTAGTCTGTGAAATTCTGACTTGTTCGGCTTCGAACATGGGTCGAAATTGTGATTGCCACCGATAGAATCCGGACGAAGGGTTGGCTGAAGGATTGTGGGTCAGGGGAGCTGTGGCCGAGTTCCATGCCCAATGCTCAGAACGGCTTCTCAGCTGCCGAGGTTGCCAACAAGGTCATCCGGGTTAGACAGTTGGAATCGCGGTCGTATAGTGTCGACTGGAAATATAATCTCCCCATTGGGCAGAGGTGGAGCCGGGATAGAACATGCAGATAGCTGGCGGAGGAAAGCGGAAAGGTCAGAAGGTATTCGAGGTAGTTGAATGCGAATATCCATGATTTTGTTTGAGGCTATCCACCCGTCTACTGGGAGATCGGAAACCACCGCCGCTGTGACTAGGGGCGGGAAAGCGTCACTTGTGTATGGAAAGGCATGTGTCACCGCGGGGTGATAACTAGACCACCAACGGTATCTCCATTTGCCCGTTCTCCGAACTTGTATCTTCGAAACAAAAGAATTCGTGCTCGGATACGGAAGCACCCAGTGTGTGGAAATGAAGCGGCGTTGAAGGTCTTCACACCAGGCCTGCTGTTGTCGACTTCCAAGGATATGGCCGATTCTCTTCAGGCAACGGTTAAAAAGAGTCCTGTATGTTTTGTTTCCGAAAGTCGGAAAAACGGCCTGCTGGCAACTGTCTTGCACTCCGTGACTTTCATCCAGTTCCGAGTCGGTGTCGTATTCGGTGATACCTGGGTCCAGCTCAGAGCCTAGCTGCGGCTCCCAGAACCGGTGTAGGATATCAGATATTCCACGGGGATTTGGGCGCGATAGGCCTGGGGCGACAAAGAGCGGTAGGTGGGCCGGATCAATATGGTCTTCTAGGTCCGGTCCACAAAGAGCAATGGACCCAGCAAGCGCTGCTTCTCGACTAGCCGGAAGGATAATAGACTGGACGCTCTCGAATACGTCTCTTCGAAACGCTCGCAGGCAGAAGTCCACTAACAAGGATAAGAGGCCGTAGATCCGCGCAGGATCTGCGGTATAGCAAGCAGTATCCAGCGCCATTAAATAGCTTTCCAATTCTAGAAAGTGTTGCTTAGCACCACGCACGGCCTGGTATCGTTCAATATACCGGCCAAGGACGCTCGGGGTGTGGAGCTGAATGTACGGACGGTGGGCAACGTGAAAGAACATGGTTTCCCAGTCGATCTTGTCCAGGAACCAGGCGTAGCCTGTCCTCTCTAGTGTAACCTTCATCCCGACTCCCTCCCAGCGACGGTCGGCCGGGTCTGTGGAATGCTCGTCATCAAATTTGTTATTAGACGGAGGCTGGTCCCGAATGTCTTGCCAGCAAGCAAAACTCCAAGAAAGCTGGTTTCCCCTTCCGCCAAACGAGAAGCGGAGACTGCGTAGGAATAACAACATAAGCCGCGTATGCTCCCAGAGAACTAAATCGCGCCGAGACAGACTATAAACCATCTCGAACCCCGCGCAGAGCTTGTTCATATTCCACTCCAGCCAACCCAAGATGGTAGAGGTACGATAGACAAGAAAGGGCTGGGTGCACGGCGATGGTCTACCACGGAGGTGCATAACGTGATTCGCAAATCCGAGCCGCTCAATCTCCTGGTCAATTTGATGCAGAAGGTCTGTTCGAAGCCGGTATTCTTCCCGAACCCCAAACGACTTGGTTCTTGAATTATGAAGGGCCCTTGCGCTCCTCGTCTTGGAATGGAGGTATGCATCCGCAAGAATTTTCAAACTCTGCTTGGCTGCCCGTCCGCAATGCTCCCAATTCTGTTTCACGTCTGAATCCAGTGCAATGGCCTCTATCATACGGTTGCTAAAAGGATACACCTTCCCCGCGCATAGGGCTTCTTTCACCGAATCGTAGAACTGGGTGTAAAAAAGACCGTCTGCTCGAAGCGATGACCTTCGCCGAGTCTCCAGGGTGAGTGATCCACTATCACGTAAAAAGGAGAAAGGAAAAAAAGTTGATGAGGAACTGCCTGGGGGTTGATGATCTGCCCGATACTTTTCAAGACAGCATCGACGCCACATAAATGTGAGAGGCTCCACGGGGTTGAGTAGCTCGGGGGTATGATCGGGGGCAGGGAGCTTCGGGCAAATTTCCTTCCCAATATCTCGATACATGATTTTAACGTGCTCCGGATCGATGGTTGAAGTCCAGGTTTGCTCGAATCGTTGCTGCATACCAGACCAGGTCATACTCTTCGTGGCCACCTTGAGGTTCTTGGCATCCAGGAGGAGGTGAATGTGTCGAAATTGTTGGAGATCCTTCTGCTCGATGATCTTGAGTACGGCCGTCCATACAGCTGCAAGCCCGTCCGGCGGAAGAATGTGATTTAATAGCTGCTGTCTCGTTTGGGTGGTTACAGAGCGCGCTTCCTTCCAAGCCGCCCACGTGTTCATAGAGGCATGAGCGTAGCTCGAAGGATAGTGTTGAAGATAGTGCCCTGAGTATCCCTCCTGAAGGGCTGGAAAAAGACTTGGTCCATCCAGATCCGAAAGTCTTCCTCGCTCAGGCGGGGAGTGGAAGATTGTGGATGCGAAAGACCGGGAAAGAGAACATAGATCGATGTATCCTCCATACCTACAACTCGCCCCAGTGTATAATGCTTGATCTTGTGGACGGGCATATGGGTTCGGCGAATACAGCCACTATGACGGTCGGTATACTCCACCGGTAACGGATCGAGGTGGAGGGATGACTGTAGGTCTGACACCGGCCGCTGAACGGGTTGCCACCGAATGCCTTGGCGCGCGGCGGCGAGATTGCCTACAAAGGCTGTGACACTATCAGTGTCGAATGAAACGTCTGGCGGCATCAGCTGTTCTTCCTCATCTGCGAGTAAGACTACTGGAGGTGTCACATGATCGTTACAAATGCCACAGAATAGTCTTCGGCGGTCAGCCGCAGACCACTTTTTCGTCCAGGTAGTCTCTGCATCGGCGAGTCGTGGAGTACCAAGCACCTTGGGGCAAGACCACTTCTGCAGGTCGCCCAGCCTGATAGTTGCGAGAGGAGATCCATCCTGGCTAACTGGCGGCTCCATTGACCGCTGATGACACTCCGGGCAACAGCCCTGGAAGTGGAGTATCTGTCGTGCTATTCGCACCCCAAGGCTATCAGTGTCCGCAGTCTCGATGTTCGACGGATCGGACAGTGGGTAGTCGCCGTCATCCTCATCAGATCCGTATGCACTATCCGCCGAAGCATCAGTGTCTGAATCTGCTGAAACATCGGGAATGTCGAATAGAATCGGTTCGTGGTCATTGGCGGAGATTGGGCCTTCAGTGGGCTCGTTATCGTCTGGAATCGCTTTAGCAGACGGGTTATCGTTGATAATTGCCTCCTCCTGCTGCGGAGCATTTCCGCCGTCAGAATCGAACACACTAGGATCATCCAGCGAGAAATCATTATCGTTGGATAAAGGCAGCGAGCCTTCCAGTGTGAGTTGTGGCTCTGGTATAGGCCCCGCATCAAGTGTATCTAGAGCAGCCGCACGCTCATTGCCGGGTCCGGTCTGTGGAGATGAATTTTCCTCTCGTCTCGGCTTGTGTGGTTTGCGAACGACTTGTTCTAGCTCTGCAGTCGATAGTTAAGAAAGTGGCCGTGCGGAATCAAATTGGCAAATTATATCCCACTTACGCGTTCGTGGACGTCCCGGGACTGATGACTCCCGAGACGGCAGTGGACCTCGCTTTCGCTGCTGATAGCGGAGCCGTCGAGCCGCATTCTTCTCAGCCCTCGTTTTGTATTTCGCCGTAGGTCCTCTTCGGCTCATTTTGCTAGTTTTTGAAGAGCAGTCACGACAGCATAGGATAGGGTAGCATAGCTGGCCCTTATACGTGCGTTTGTCGACTTTTGGACAACGTAGTCCGCCCCTGATGAACACCAAAGACTGGATATATCATTTCTTGGCACTGAGCACAATTAGGCTTTGACAGAACCCACAAATGGGTTGGGTCCTGGGTCCAATTTCATAACCCATTGGGGCCCCAATTGGGTCGGCAAACGATGTAAACATGAAAAATTCAAAATTACTAAAATTACACTATGTTTGGAGTATGAAATCATACCTAAAATATAGGTAAACCTAGATTTTATTATAAATTTCATATCAGAACTAGACTTAAATATTAGCTTGTTTATTAAAATTTTCGAAATAAGTAGATTTTAGGGTCGAGAATAAATTTCGTGGTCTACACAAACAGTGGTGTTACTTCCCTGTCCGTGAATATATATCTTCATAAACAAACTATATTTCTGTCCAACTTCCAAACAAAAGTCTTTTCTTCTCTTTTGAATAAACATATCAGTTTAATGAACCTTTCTTTCGCTATTTTCAATATTTAAATCATATCAAAACTATTCAAATGAGTGTATTGAAGATTACGAGTGCACTATTTTATGACTGCCCCTGCTGGGTAAACGGCATTACATAAAGTCATAGCTGATGTGTCCCTAACTGCCCCAGCGCATCTGGCGGTGTTGCCTAAGGCAATCTATGTCTAGTGCAGCTGGTCCAATGTAGGGCAGTGGTCCTGACAGCCTCCTGTTTGCGCCCCAGCAGAACAGACCCTGACCAGTATACGGGATAGCACGTGACTAGTCTGGCTTTTCGTCCGAGTTTCTATTGGCTGAAACATTATCTACCCTATACTGCCACCATTTGCGAGGGCGATCAAAAGACAGAAGAACTCTGGAAGCAGACCATCGTTGTGATTTGAATGATACCAAGTTCAATATACAACAAGCGTCGTGGCGCCGGTACTATGTGTCTTGACTTTCCCACCACGTGACCTTCGTCCGGGTTTTTCGTCCGAGTTTCTATTGGCTGATAGTATTCTGCCTTCCCTTGCTACCAATTTTCAATAATATGTAAAAATAAAAATAGCTTTGGAACCTGGCGGATGCGAGCTTTTTACTCATACCCAAATGCTTTCTATCTGGGTATTGTGGTGTCGTGGTCACCTGCCACGATTTGCCTGTTGGGTTTGTTAGTGATATGATACAAAGCCAGATGACTACCCCGCTTCTAAGAACTGATATTATAGCACGTGTCCGCGGGCGGGGATATATCTTGGCGTTGGGTACTCACTACACCTGACACTGATCAGGCGTGTTTTGGTTCATAACCTGGGCCCGTTACGCTTGCAAGGGCATGCCATATGACCAATGATGAATGAACACATTTGAAGTCAAACTGTTGGGCTAGGAATTCCTACATGGTGAATTATGGCACCTCACATGTACTGTTTTGTCCACTTGTGACCAACTGAGGGTTGTCGATAGAAATTCAAATTTTTTCTTTCTTAACTATTCACAGTCTGTGACATTTCATCTTCAAACATGGATCTGGTAACCACAATTGAAATTAGGGGCAGAGTTGGCGCGCAAGGTATGTGGGTCTTCACAAACCAAATCTGCGTTTGATATCCTTGAAGATTCAAAGCTTACACCAACCCCCTAGCATCTGAGATTTTGCAATGGATTCAGTTGATTGAGAGTGGGTGGAATCTAGCATCTCCCGATTTCAGCTTAACGAACTATCATTGTATTAACTCATTGTCTAGAGAACTTCGCTTCATTGAAGAAGACGCCTTGTCGAGTCCGTATTGAACAACTTGCCTACGGATTATACATGAAGGGAAAGTGGACAGACCATCCATATTGGTTGATCCATGTATTTCAAGTGGAGGAAACATTCGATATGAGGGTACATTCCTATGAGGGTCCACAAGGCGAAACGCTGAACGATGTGCTTCAGAGGGTGTTTCTACAAAGTTGTCAGGAACATGCCCCTTAGACCTCAAGGAATGGCTCTTTCGTGTTCCAATCTTCACCAGTGTCTATATTTGGCAATCAGATTGTGATAAATCTGGGATTTCGTACTCTCGCAAATGGCTTTTGCTCTTTGGCCTTCTGAAGAGCTGTGTCTAAAGATTATCTGTTATACATACCAGCTGTGACTATGAAGAAATAAAACTGGCAGTAGTGAGCGGAAACCACTGGGAAACACAAACTAGAAACATCTTACAGTACTGTAGCCCACTAGGTTCATTTCTCTACGGCAGACACACGGTATTCGGCATACAGAAGAAAACAAGGCAAGGGCCTACGGTGGATGTGAATCAAGCCAGATTGCCAGATCTCACATACTTCAAGAACCTTATTAGAACATTCTATGAAGATTTACAGTATTTTACAATGACTCAATAGACACTGAAAACTAATACGTCGTAAATTGCGATACGGCTAAGCAGAGTTTATTTCCTGATACGGAATAGCGTGGTTCCGGATACGAGCCGAGAAACAATGCGTGTGTGTCCAGAGGGAATCTGTTTTCGACTCTCACTGTGCCACGAAGTGGTCCCTCGTGGAAAGTCACCTTCTCGTGGTGAGGGACGTCAGTAAGTTAGACTGCAAGGTCTGACCGAAACTGAGAACTTTCCAAATCGAAACTCCGGCGGAAACTCCTTTATTGGTTGTGACGACGCGGCGGGAAGCTTTCAAAAGAACACGTCGACAACTTCGCAACGTCGACGAGCCTTCGAACAACCGACCTGCCTAAATATTTTCAACCTATACTCACCGGATTTTGTTCGCAATAACTCACCTGCCCTACCGGTTCGATCGCATGTCGATTCGTCAGTCCTTCGTCTGCTATCTGGTGTTGCCGCCAGCGAGGCAGTCAGCTACTTCGGGCGTTAATATGAGAAGTACTCTCGGTAAATCGCTACTCAGGGAAGAGGTTCACGAAACTACATCGAGAATGGACACGTGGAGGGGTCCGGTGTCACAGAGGGATGGGTTATTGCTTTTGGGGGAGATGAGATGATGACAACAACAACAAGAAGAAATCGTTAAGGACATACCGTATGGGCTAGAGGGGTTTTTTGCAGCTGGTTCAGCTTTTCCTCTCGAAAATGAGACTATGACAAAATGTATGCAATGGAAAGATCAAATAGCGTATAGGTGCCCTCTAGGCTTGATACCTCCGGGCGTAATGAATTGTGTGTGTGTGTACCACGAAGTGAGCTCCCCTACTTGTAGGTTATGTTGTCTTGAAGGTGAACTGTGAAGTGCAAAATGTTACGAGACAAGCTGTCAGCAACCTGCGGGGGATGACAACAGCCAAACCAAACCCTCAGAAAAGACGAAACCTACAGGAATTACGTACAACCAATCATATCACCAACTGATAAGTTCCCAGGAGCAAAGCAAGAGCGTGTAAAAACGACACCTCAAGCATGAGACTGTGATCGATCCCTGATCGTTCAGGCGAACGTGACCTTGGGATCCACCCGACAGAGGGAATCCAGTACATAGATGCCTTCTAGGTACCTAATGTCCTCTGCCGTGAGGACACGCTGTCCTTGATCACCCTGATTGATCACTAAGCAGTCCCTGTGTAATTGTTCTTGAACGTGCTCCAGTTTGCTCCTGGGAGCTTATCACCCTGATTGATCACTGAGCAGTCTCTGTGTAATTGTTCTTGAACGTGCTCCACTTTGCTCCTGGGAGCTTATCACCCTGATTGATCACTGAGCAGTCCCTGTGTAATTGTTCTTGAACGTGCTTGTGAGAGTCTCACGTATACATAGAGGTGGATAGTGTTTCAAGATAAACAATCAATATTAAGAACAACTATAGTTGACTCTAGATACAAGACGTAGCGCGAGGAAGCAAAAGGAAGGTAGCTTCCTCGCGTTCAGGGGAACCCATGTACACCATGTGGGTCCCATGCGGATCATATCTCTATCCGTTCCGCATGCTTCATCTATATCCTTGACAGTGCTCTTCTTTGCTCCTGGGAGCTTATCGTGTGCTGTCAGAGATCGAGCATATATAGTAGCTTGGGAGTTTGGTCGCTGACCAAACATTGTGCCTTTTTGGCCAGATGGCGTAGTGGTAAAACCCAAGCATCCATGAACCGTCACATGTGCATGTTTTGTTCCTGGGAACTTATCAGTTAGTGCTTTGATTGGTCACACGTGATTCCTGTAAGTTACGTGTTGTGGTTTTTTGAGGGTTTGGTTGGTTGTTGTCACTCCCCGCAGGTTGCTGGCGGCCTGCCTCGTACAGTCAACTCTCGCTTATACCACAGCATACTATCCAAGCCAAATTACGTGGTATAATTGAGTTGTGTTTTGGTGAGAGGATGACATAATATTTGACAAGCTAACTCTAAGCCCTAATACCTATTTAGTCTTCCATCCCATCATCTGATCCAAAGTCACCTGACGTTTCTCATCAATCTGAATCCTGCCAAAGTCGCTGATTAAGCTCTCAATTTGTCTAATATGGTCCGAGGTACCCTTTTCTTTGCTACAAACCCATAGTAGGATATCCTGGAGGCTGTCCAATATAGCAGAATTAGACAGAAGCTCAGGTGGGGGCCCATCAATGTCAATATCCTGAATTTCTGAGGTTGTTGGGGCAATATATATATCTTGCTCATTGGTCTCATCTCGCCCTTCAGTCCCATCTTCTAACATGTCTTCGTCCGAAGGGTTCAAAAACTCGTCAAATGGCACAATATCTTTATCACCAAGCTTATCAATTGCTTGATTATATAGACTTTCAATCTCATCACTCAATCCGGGCTCGGAAAATAGTGCAGACTCAGGTGCGGACTCGGGCGCGGACTCAGGTATAGGTATAGACTTTGGACTAATCAAAGTACTTTGTTTAAAGCAATTGATAATCGTTTGGTCTGATACACTTGTTCTCCAAACTTGCGTTACCCAGGTAACAGTATAATAAATGCTCATTCTTTGT